CCTGCCTGCCTCCAGTATTATTCCCTTTCACTCCTTGTCCCCTCTCAGATGCCCTGGTTTAATTGGCCAGCCCCAGCCTGGGTTTTGTGCTTCCCTTATCATGATGGGCTGAGTGCTCCCCTGGCTCCCATCTCACCCTGCCTGCATCCACCTGCCCCTCTCCCCTGTCCCTCCTGCCGCTGTTTTGTTTGGCCAAATGACAGCCTGGGTGTGACCAGAGGCGATAATGGTCGGCAAATATTTTAAGGGGGAAGGAGAAAAATTGTCCCTGGGGGAGTTTGAGCGGGGAGGGCAGGGATGGGGTTGGGAAGATGTGCAGATGATGCTGTCGGCCTGCGGACATCATAAATCCCCTCTGGGTGGGTGGGTGGGGATGGGGAAGGAGCATCTCTCTCATCCCTGGGTCTGCTTGGAAGGGCAGGTCCTCTCTGGAAGGGGCATTTTGCTGGGGAGATTGGAGTTGGAGCAGAGAGGCAGAGAAAAGGGGATGGGAAGGGAGAAAACAGGAATGAAATAGCAGCAAAAAGGGGAAACTTGGGCTGGAAATACTGGAAATGTTTAACTGGAGGGGTTGGTGAGTTGGTATCTGACTCAAGTGCTAACATGGATTGGAGCACACAGTGATGGGAAGGAGCTCTGGAGAGGAAGGGGGCAGGTCTGTAGCTCCTGTGAATTGCTGGATTTGCCCCTGGGACAACATAAATGGAGATTCTGCTTCCCTCAAAAACACCCAAATAAATGGAAAAAAAAACCAAAAAAAAACCCCAAAAAACAACCCCCCCCCAAAAAACCAACTCCCCTCTGTTTAACAGTTCATTGTGTCTGCTGAAGGGCTGGGAAGAAGGAGATGCTGGATTAATGGATAAAAATGTTATTTATAAATATCCTATTGAAAAATCTGTCCCAAAAAATAAGAGGGAGATGCTGAATAACTGATAAAAAAATTATTTATCAATATCCTACTGAAAAGTCTGCCCCAAAAACATCCCTGCAAAGACTGGCAGGGGAGTTAAGGGAGTTGCCAGAGACTGTGCAGCAAATCAGTGACAGAGGAGAAAGGGCATGTGTAACCCCTCTGCTCCATGGCAGGACACCCTGAGCTTCCCAAAAAAATCCCCCAAGACTCCAAGGAAATGCTGGACAAACACAAACAGAGGGTGGCTGAGATGGACCCTCCCAAGAGCTTTTTTCTCCACCCATCACCCAAAATTGGTTGTACAACGCTGCTAAAGAAGGGGAAGGTGACCAAGTGACACAATCCTGCTCTTCCTTACAAACTGCTCTTACATTTTTCTGGGCAGCACTCTCATCCCATTTTCTGCCAGCACAACCCTTCCTGGAGCTGGCAAAAAATGAGAGAGTGACACCCCTAAAGGTGTCACTTGGGGGCAGAGCTCACCCTGAGCTCACCCAGAGCCACGACCCAGCTTTAAACCAGCTTGCCCGGCATTTCCCACCCTCCCCAAGCACGATGAAGACATCCTTTGTCAGCAGCAGGGATGGTGACAGCTACCCAGGAGAGCCCAATTTTATTCCGTGTACCAGCAGAGAGGGGCACGTTGGGAGGACCTGAGGGGCCGGAGGGCAGGAGGGGGTGACAAAGAGACCTGGAGGGAGGAGATGTCGAGTTGGCAGCCGTGTCCCCGGGATGTTTTGTGCAGGGTTGGGCCGGTTTGGGGCGTTTTGGAGGTGCCACCAAGCGCGGCCGCTGCAGGTGGCGCTGCGATGTTGGGTTTGAGCGCTGCGCTCGCTGCAGCCCGAGCTGGAGCCACCAGCGCAGGCTCCCAGCCACTTAAACACCGCGCTGCTTTAACAAACTTGGAAAATGGCGGGGGAAAAGAATCACGGAAAAATCCCCGCTCAATCTGACTTAGATTTTTCGTCTCTCTCCCTTTTTTCTTTTTTTTTCTTTTTTTTTTTTTTAATTTTATTTCTTCTTCTTTCCCCTGATTGGCTCATCCTCTGTTGTTGGAGCCTTGAAGCGTACAGGTGGATGTCCTGGCAAAAATGGGGTTTTTCTGTTCTTTAGGTGTTGGTGGAAGTGACTCCTATGTGCCACCATGTGCGGTTCAGGTAATAATGCAAAACACGAAATAAAGGAGGGAGTGAGTACATCTGGAGGAACCTCAGAGGGATTCAGGGAGGCTGTTGGCACCCAGGACTTCAGGGGCATTGGGGGATCTTTTGAGGCAGCAGGAGGGAAATCAGGCGTGTGAGGTTGTTTGGATGGAGAGAACAGGATTTTGCCTCATCCCAGATGATGCTGAGATAGTTTTGATGCTGCTTGGTTTCCCCCTGGAGCAGAGCAGGGGATGCCCAGCACCTCTCTGTGATCTCTGCTGTGACTTGGGGGGGAAAATACCCACCAGGGTGAGCCTGAACCCTGCTTGTCCTTGGGCCCTTTTGCTGCAGAAATTCCCAGGTCAGGGGAGGTCATTTGGGTTCTGCAGCCCCAACCCTTTCCCGCCCCCGCTGCCCGGTTCATGAGCAGGCCTATAAATAAAGTCTCATTTGTCACTCATTCCCTCATGAACCCAAACAGCACGGGCATCTATTGACTCCTGCCATTGTCTTAAGAAGCAGAAAGAGCTGGTATTAATTTCTTCCTCCCCACCAGCTCGTGGGAAGTAATCTGAGCATATCCAGATTATCCGTGTTTAGCAGAACAGGTTTTAAACACGAGACCGAATTTCCTTGAGATTTTCATATGTTTTTATTAAATGGAGCTGTGAGCCAGGCTGGACACTCAATAATGCTGTAGCACTCAGAGCAGCAGTGATCTTTAGAGGTTACTAACCTGCCATTGTATCTCTCAGATTCCTGTCTGGCTCCTCCGTTGTCATTTCACTGCGTTATTACTCTTCAGGCTTCGCATCGCATTCATTTCTCTGAATGAAAACAAATGACTCCTTGCGAGAGGTAGGAGATAAAGAATAATAAATACATTTTATGCACCACCTTAAAAAAAAAGAAAAGAAAAAAAGAGCTCTGAATCCCCCATCCATCCATCCATCAGGAAATGTAAACGGGAGCTCAGGCAAAACACACACACACACAGAGGCGCGTGCCGGGGAGATAAAACTTGTTTCAAGGAAAACATGATATTGTTTCTAAATAAATATCTTGGAGGATGCAAATAGACAGCCCCCGGCCCCCGTGCTTTGTGGCATAAATTTAAGATAATTAAAAATACTAAGCTGGGATTAAGGCTGATTTTCTGTCAATGGCTGTGGGGAGGGGGGGGAGTCCTGCTGTGCTTGGTGCTGCACAACCCCTGGAGAGGAGATTCCTGCCTCTGATCTCGGCTGCTGGCACCCCTTCCCCAGCACCCCCTGCCTCCCTGCCGGATGTCTGTGCCTTCTGCTGGGCAAGGGGAAGCTGCAGGGCCCCTTGCAGAGTTTTCTCCTTGGCCTGAGCACGGCCAGCCCCCCTGGAAGCAGAGGAGATGTCCCCCAGCTGCTTCTCCCCTCTTTTCAGACCTTTGTGAGGAGCCCATCCTCGGGGATCCGGGGCTCCCTGGGGAGCAGCCCTGTTGCTATCACCACCCCGAGAGCATCCCTGCCCTTCCCACACCTGCTGCCGGCTCTGGCATCACCTGCGGGGAGGAGCGCGGCTCTCACACACGGAATGAACTTTTGGGGTGGGCGCTGGGGGACACCAAACTCAGGTAGGAAGCACCAACAGCTTCTGAAAAATCCCTTTATTCCTGCGGCTGCCGGGAGTGGAAGGCAGCCCGGGCCAGGGGAGCAGCTCGCAGCCGCTCTCCGGGATTATTGCTCACCCCAGCTGGGGGATTGATCTTCCTCAATCCTCCCCACGCCCCGCTCCCCTCCTCGCTGCCTCCGAGCCGGGGGAGAGCCTCAGAGAGGGAAGGGAAGGCACGGAAAAGGCAAAGGAGATGCCAAGCAAAGCCGGGAAAGGCTTTTTTTTTTGAGGAGCAGATGGGGGCAGGCAGCGAGATGCGCTTGATGCCGTGAGTGCGTTTGGGGTTTTGATCCTTTTTTTTTTTAATTTTTTCCCCCTATTTTTCGGGGAGGGCAGAGACGTTTCCCAATTAGCCCAATCAGGCTGGAGCTCCTAGGTGTCAGTAGTGAGCAGGAGCGAGGGAAGGCACCGCAGCAGGAGGAATCCAGCAGCCGGAGTTGCGGCCGGGGGAGAGCGGCGCCGGCAGCCCCGGGAGGCGGCCCCGCTCCCCGCCCGTCCCCAGCCCCTTCCCCAGCCCCTGCAAACTTTAGGACGACGAAAAGCGCCTTGGGGGACCCCCGTCCAGAGACAACCTGCGCTCCTCCGCCTTCTCCCCTCTCCCGGAGGTGGGTGGGCTGGAGAAAGGAGGAGCGAGCGGCCACTCTCTCTGCAAAGCTAAAAAAAAAATAGGAAAGAAAGAGAAAAGGGATAGAAAGGGATTTTTATTATCGCTTCATTTTTCTATTCATTATTTTTATTATCCCTCCCCCGTGCATTAGGCTGCGGTTGCCACAGCACTTCTACACCTCTCTCCAGCTATTCTTTTTTTTAATAATTTTTTTTTTTTTTTCGGAAAGGGGTGTGTGCCTGTGTTTGCAAAAGAGCCTGGGTGTCCAAGCCGGCTCCGCAGCCACCATTGGAGAGAGAGGAGGGCTGGGGAGGAAGGAAGGGCTGGCTGGCGAGACAGCCGCAGTGCGAGCCCTCCCCGGCGGGCGGGCGGGCGGCAGAGAGGCCGCGGAGCCGGGCATGGCCCCGTAGCGCATCCCCTGCCCGCATCCCGCATCCCGCAGCCCCTGCCCGGCTCCCCCCGCTGCCGGCTGGGTTAGAGACGGAGGGGGGGAAGGGCTGGGGGAGGGAGGGAGGGAGGGGTGATTTGGGGGGGGAGTGAAAACTGGAGCTGCGTTCTGGAGCGGCGTTCCCCCCGTCCCCCCCGTCCCCTCCGTTCTCCCCCCCTCCTCCTCCGGCTCTGGGCGAGCCAGACACGGTTTGCCCAGTGCAGAGAGAGGGCTCCGTGTTCCGCCTCCGTGGAGTATTTGGGATTGGAGAGAGACACACACGCACACACGCGCGCACACACACACACACACACACACACGCACACAGAGACCATCTGCAGTGTCAATGCGGCGCCTGCTCTGAAGACTGAAGTGGGGGGAAAGGAGAGGAGAGAAATATAATATATATATATACATATATGTATATATATATATACACACCAAAACCCACCCAAAGCAAGCCAGGAGCATTCCCAGGTAAGGAGCCCCCGCCCCGCCCGGGCTGCGGGAGGATGCCCCGGAGGATGCCCCGGCAGGGCTGGCGGGGCTGCAGCGGTACCTGCCCTGCACACCTGGCGGCACCCAGGGAGGGGGCCTGGGAGGCGCCCCCACCGCTGCTCGCCACCCCCGGGTCCCGGGAAGGGGGTCTGGGATGGGGGGATGGAGGGCTGGAGGGCAGAGACCCCCGAGGACAGCGGGCTGAGCCGAGGGATCGGGCACGGCCCCTCCCGGCCCGCCTTGGGAGGATGCTGGGCGGGGGGCGCGGCGGGGACCCCCTGCTGCACATCCCCAGCGCGGAGGGGACGCGGTGCCCGCTGTCCCCCGTTCCTGATGCCCTTTCCCCCATGCACAAGGCTCAACTTTTCTGCCCGGAGGTAGCGGCTCAGCTCGCAGCCCGTCCCTCGTCACCCCCGGCATCCCCGGCTGCGGGTTCGCCTCCCCTCGGGGGGTGTTTTCCGCCTGCGATGCTCCGGAGCTCTCCTCGGGCGAGGAGCTGGAGGCATTTCCAAACTTTTCCTGCTCCCGGTGAGGTTGCAGCTGGACTGGGCTGGAGGCAGAGCCCAATTCCCGGGGAGGATAACCCTGGGATGGGGACAGGGGACCGGGGCCATCCCTGGCGGTGAACACCTAAAAGGGAAGGGCAGACCCTCGTGGCTTCCCTTCCTGCAAGGTGCTGGAGAGTTTCCCTGCCCAAATCCCGGCTGCGGAGTCAGCGCAGCCGAAACTGCCTCCTTTCCCTCGGTGCATGTGTGTGTGCTGCGTATCGATACTCTGCGTTTATCAGACATATGCCCTTAAATGATGTACACCGGGAGAAGTGATCTAAACACCGAGCCGCGCGTTGTTTCGCTGGAAATCCACGTTGTTTCGCTGGAAGTCTAATACTCCGGCAGGAGCCGAGTTGCTCCCAGACAAACAAACCCGCTTGCTCAGCCCCAGCAGGGCTGTTTGGGTTTGTAGCGGCTGCATGTGGCTGCTCCATCCTGAAATCCTCCTCCCGGGGCTCCATCTGCTCGCTGTGCCGGGAAGGGATGGATGAAGGGATGCGGGGGTAGGAGCCCCGAGCAGGGCTCGCCCTGATGGGAAGGAGCCTCTGGATCGCGTTGTGGCTCCGCACCTCTCCCGCAAAACTTCCCCACCCCTCTCTGCTTCCCAGCCCTGCTCGCTGCAAACGCACCTGACAGCCCACAGCCTCCCTCCGCTGCCGGGAAAAGAGATTTTGGGAAAAGCGAGAGGGGTTTGCTGCTCCCCGGGTTGTGGGGTGAGTGATGCAGAGAGGTTCGGTTCGGAGCGGGACCCCCGAGATGCCGGGGGATGCTCTCACGATCCGCGGGAACAATGACGGTGCCGGGGGATTTTTACAGCCGATGCAAAGTGCTCGCAGCCTTCTAGGGACTTATCTTGAGCGTGCACAGATATTTCGGAGGGTGGAAAGCGTGCTAACTTATTTTCCTTAGCTGCCCTCTGTTTCTGCGGGTGTTGTTTGTAGAAACCCGCGAGCGGGGCACGGGGGGCTCGGGCTTGTGTGATTCTAATTTCTGTGATTTTAATTACGGCGTGTGCCTCCCAGCGTGGGATTAGGTGCTTCCTCCCCCCGCCTAAGCCTCTGGCTGGAGGTGCAGGGGATGCGAGCAGCGTTTCGCTTGTGTTTTTGTGTTTTTGTTGGTTTTTTTTTTTTTGCCGGGGGAAGTGCGCGTTTGTTTGTTTGTTTGTTTGTGTGTGGGGGATCCTTCGCTAAGCCGGGTTTCAAGCGGTGCAACAGATGTGTGTGTGTGTGTGTGTGTGTGTGTTTCTCGTGTGCAACCAGGTTTAAACACGCAACCCCAGCCCCGGCACGAAAATCTGGGCTTTTTTCCCCCTCCTTTGCCCAGATCCACCCTCCGTGGGATGTCTCCTTTCCGAAAGCATCACTCCAAGGCTTCTTCTCTCCCTGTCCCATCCGGAACGTGCGGCGCTCGGTGATGTCTATACCACCTAAAATAAATGCCAGCCGCATGATCTAAGCGCTGTTTCTGTCCAACACGGGTGTTTTAGATGCTCAGTCGCGGTGCTGTAGGGAAGCATTTGCTCGAGGATCGCCGGCGCTGCTGTCAAACGCGCTGTGCGCGGCTAGGGAGGGATGCTGCGAGCCCAAAGGGACGCGCTGAACTTCTCCGCAGGGAGAGCGAATATTTGAGCATTTTCTCAGCGGATTCACCTGCCAGCAGCCAGAGAGCAGGGAGGGGGTGGGTGAGGCAAAGCCAAGGGCTGAGCAGAGGCAGGAGAGCGGCTGGGCTGAGCTGCGCTGCCGGGAAGGCAGGAGCCGTCTGTGGCAGCTCCATCCCGGGGGGCTCAGCCTCGCCGGAGCCGCTTTCATATCAATTCCTGCACTTTCGCAGGCTGACGAGGGGGAGGAGAGATGCCGGCGCCCCTTTTGTGTTGCATCTTTTTCCTCTTACCGCGCCGCTTTGTCTCTGCCTCCCGATGCCGAAGGGATGCAGTAAAACCAAGCAGTCAAACCGAGCTCCCGCTCGCAGTGCCGGGGCTGGGCTCGTGTGATGAGCCCGGCAAGGTTTTACGATGCTCGGGGTTGTGCTGAGGGTTAAAGCCGTGTGGGAATCAGTTTCTTCTGAGGAAGGGAACCCTGAGGAGGATGCTGTGGTGCTCCACGCTGGTCTGACCTGGGGAGGGTGTCAGAGGTGGGGCTGCTGCTGAGTTTTGGAGTTTGCAGTGCCAGAGTTTGGGGCTTGGCACTGCCCACATGTGTTTGGGAGCGGGATGGCGTGGTGTCCTGGGAGTCATTTGGCTGCTCTTGATCTATTTATTATTTATAACCCCTCTAAAGCGGGGTCCCACATAGCTGAGACTCCAAAGTCTCAGGTGCAGCCCATGAGGGAGCTGTCCATGTGCTCCCTCCCCAGCCAGGGATGCGTTTTGTGACTGGGGATGTGACTGCTCCCCCCAGCAAAGCCCTCCAACTGCTTCATGCTCTAACACAAAGCATCTGGGGAGCCTTTCTGGCTCTCTGGAAGGCTTCAGAGGGCTCTTTCTCACTCCTTCCTTCTGGCTGGCGAGACCCGGGGAAGGGACAGCAGCTCCAGGCGCCCAAGGCAAGGAGACTTCCCGTCTGTGCAGAGAGTCCAGCGCCTTCCTGCAGGGCATCAGTGATGAGCGTGCTTCCCTGCCCGCCTGTCTTCCTCTGAAAAGTGCTTTATGTCCCTCAGCTTTGAGCTCTCAAGGAGCCTGTGACAAAAAGAAAAAAGAAAAAGAAGGAAAAAAAAAAAATTACGTAGTGCTGCCCACATGTTTTTCACTCAGGCTCTGAGTGGTTTTAAAACAGAGCCATTCACTCAATTCCCGTGGTGTGGGTGGGGAAACTGAGGCACAGGTTTTAAAACATAACCATCTACTCAATTCCCATGGTGTGGATAGGGAAATTGAGGCACAGGGTTTAAAACATAACCATCTATTCCATTCCCATGGTGTGGATGGGGAAACTGAGGCATAAGGTTTAAAACACACCAATATATTCCATTCCCTTGGTATGGATAGGGAAACTGAGGCACAGGGTTTTAAACATAACCATCTACTCCATTCCCATGGTGTGGATAGGGAAACTGAGGCACAGGGTTTTACACAGAACCACTTACTCAGTTCCTGTGGTGTGGATAGGGAAATTGAGGCACAGGGGTTTAAAACAACCACTCACTCCATTCCCATGGTGTGGATAGGGAAACTGAGGCATGGGAGTTTAAAACAACCATTCACTCAATTCTCATGCTGTGGGTAGGGAAACTGAGGCACAGGGTTTGAAAAAAGAACCATCTACTCCATTCCTGTGGTGTGGATAGGGAAACTGAGGCACAGGGTTTTAAAACACAACCACTTGCTTAGTTCCTGTGGTATGGATAGGGAAACTGAGGCACAAGGTTTTAAAACACAACCATTCACTCAATTCCTGAGTAATTGGGAAACTGAGGCACAGGGTTTTTAAAACACAACCATTCACTCAATTCCTGTGGTATGGATAGGGAAACTGAGGCACAGGGTTTTAGAACAGAGCCATTCACTCAATTCCTGTGGTATGGGTGGGGAAACTGAGGCACAGGGTTTTAAAACAGAACTACTCACTCAATTCTTGTGGTATGGATAGGGAAACTGAGGCGTGGATTTTTAAAACATAACTGCTCACTGCATTCCCATGGTGTGGATAGGGAAACTGAGGCACAGGGTTTAAAACATAACCACTCACTCAATTCTTGTGGTATGAATAGGAAAACTGAGGCATGGGGTTTTAAAACATAATCATTCACTCAATTTCTGAGTAATTGGAAACTGAGGCACAGGGTTTAAAACAGAACCACCCACTCATTTCCTGAGTGATTGGGAAACTGAGGCAGAGAGAGGCAAACAGCTCAGTCCACATTTATTAGTGAGGAATTCTCACTCACCAGCCTGAAATGCAAACTGAGCCCCAGGTGGGACTCTGATGAGAGCAGGGAGTGATGCCTGCCCTTCTGTGGGTGCTTCAACAGCCAAGAGCAGCCCTTGGACACAACAGGACATTTCCAGGATTGAATTTTTTCCGGTTAAAATGGCAAATGGGTGCTTTGAAGGAGAAAGAATCATGGAATTACAGAACAGTTTGGGTTGGAAGGGACTTTAAAGATCACCTAGTTCCAATACCTTGCCATGGGCAGAGAGAAGCAAATATTTTAGGTTAGAAAACTGGCCTGGGAGCAGCTGTGCTTTCATGGATCTCAGTCCTAGTGCCTTTAAAATTTGCTGCAAAATGTTTTTAACCACCTTTGGGGATGGAGACATCACTGCAGAAATGACCTGCTGAGTTCCCACAGCCTGTGTGGTGATTCTCTGTGTCTGGCATCTTCCCTTGGGGTTTTTTTGACTCATCCCAAAGAATAGTCTGGGTTTTTTTGTTGGTGCATGAGCTCTGTGAGTTTGCCTCATCCTTGAGGGGCTGAGCAGCCACCCAGGTT